AGGGAGAAATAGGGGTTGAAGTTTTAAATGGAGTGGTCAGGGAGTTGACCTTTGAGCAGAGAAGTGAGGGAGGTGTAAAAGTCTACAAACCCTGGGATACCTGTGGCACAGGACTGCCCTGGGCACCGTGAGGGGTACAGGGCAGAATAAAAAGTAGTCCTTCTTTCAGAGCATTTTCATTTTAATCGGATACACTGATAAGAACTAAAAGGTAACTGTAGTTTATTTTTCCTCTCATCTTTCACATAAGATCTTAATTTATTTTCTAGGGAAGAAAGGAGTTGTAGATAAATCTTTATTAGATTCTTGTTAGGCGAGGTAGAAGTTTTATTTGCATAGTATTCCCTATTGTCTATTTTTTAATCTTGTGGACAAGAAAGTTAATAGACTGCTAAATTAGGAAAAAGAGAAATTGTGTCTAGTTTTGTGGGCTACAAGAAAAAGTTAATTCATTTTCTCAGATGAGATATACTTAAACTGCTTAGCCTGTGACATTAAAACATTTTCATATAAACTTAGAGGTAAATCCTTGCCTAGAAATAATCATGTGGACTGTTATCTCATAGTTTGTCCATGGGCTGTAGTGCTTCTCTCCTGAACTTGTAACTTTGTTTTTTTGTTTGTTTGTTTGTTTGTTTTTTAATTCATTTTTATTGGAGTATACTTGCTTTACAATGTTGTGTTAGTTTCTACTGTACAGCAAAGTGAATCAGCTATACGTATACATATATCCCCTCCTTTTTGGATTTCCTTCCTGTTTAGGTCACACAGAGCATTGAGTAGTGTTCCCTGTGCTATACAGTAGGTTTGAACTTATAACTTTGGAATATAGCCTGGAAATTTAATAGAAGTCTGAAAACCATATAACATTTTTAAATTATAATAATGTATGCCTGGGGAAATTTTTAGACATTGCAGAGTGTATGAGCTAAATGCAAAATCACTCCTATCCGAAATTCATTCCTGTAGTATATAAACATAGTGTTTTTTAACAACATTTAAAAAAAAATTCCTGTATGTAACAAAGTAAACTACCAAGAATTTCCTCTTGACCTCCTAACAGAGGTTTGCATTTCCCTTTTTGCGCGGGAGAAACAGTTCGGCCTCTGGCTGTCTTGCATTTCTTTGAAACACATAGTGCCAAGGCCACACGTGGATCCTAGAAAAAGGTTTGACCTTTCTTCCCCCATCTCCCACTGCTAATTGACATGTTTATTCAGTTGACTGAGCCAGCTTTATCAAGACTGCCTCTGTGGGAGAGTTAATATTGTGCTTTGTGTGCCAGAGCAGCATCCCCAGCAGGGCTGAGGCGGAGGATGGAGGCTGCGGTGAAAGAGAAGAGTAAGAGGAGCACAGTCGGAGCATTAGAAGTCCCCTTTGCTGTGTTCATCATAGCTGGGCAACGGTGTCTTTTAGCCTTGGTGTGTTATTTCGTAGACCCGTCCTGTGTCTCTAAGAGTATACTTATGCCTAGAGTTGGAGTGTAGATCTCTGGGCACCTTTGGCACTCTTATTCACCTTCGTTCGCCAACCCACCTGAAATGGAATTTTCTCTTTCGTATCTGTCCTCAGGCCAGTAAATCCCGTGAGGTCTTCTGAAGCAGTGTGCTTCATGAGGGTGGGTGGGTGGGTAGGTAGGTAGGTAGCGCTGAATAATTTGAAAGAGAAGGAAGAGAATTATTTTGTTTCCTTCTTAGGACACCCAGAATAGCTAAGGAGAAATCATTTACAATACCCTGACCTTGAGATCATGAAAAGAACTTATTTAGTGATGAGTGACAAGAATTATTTTTTCCTCTGAAAAATTATGGGTAAAAATTTAAGGTCTTGCTAGCATAATTTTTAAGAACTAAATAAAGGGAAGGATTTTTATGTAAAGTAGTCCTTAGTACCATGTAGACGTGATTCTTAGACACTAGAGACAGCCTGAATTTTGATGCTGTATAACTTTAAAATGAAAGACAAGAATTTTTGTCTCTAGATAATGTCACTACCATTTTCTTAAGAACAGCACAATAATTCAGTGCTTCAGCATATGAAGCTTCAGCTTCCTCTTACTGGTTACATTTTTCATCATTCTCTTTTATATTAAAGATACTTTGTAGGCTTTATTACAAAAGTAATGCGTACTTATTAGGAGCACGAGGAAACTTTGGAGAATTTTGGAGAGATATGTTCACTGTTTTGATTTTGGTGATGATGTCATGAGTGTACATATGTATTTCAAAACTTACCAAATTGTACACTATGAATAAATAGCTGCAGTTTATTATAGAATTGTCCCTCCGTATCCACAGGGGATTGGTTCCAGGACCCACTGCAGATATCAAAATCCACGGATGCTCAAGTCCTTTGTATAAATGGCATAGTATTTACATATAACCTGTGCACATCCTCCCGTATACTTTAAATCATGTCTAGGTTACTTATAATACCTAAGACAATGTAAATGCTCTGTAAATAGTTGTAAATACAATTTAATAGCTGGACTATGGCAAATTCAAGTTTTACTTTCTGGAATTTATTTTCCTAATATTTTTCAATCTGTGGTCATTTGAATCCATGCTGCAGAACCCACAGATATGGAGGGCTAACTGTATATGTCAATTATATGTCAGTAAAAGTTTTTAATATTTTTGTGATTTGATTACAAAAAACTGGACTTATGGTTAATAATGTATTTCAATTTGTTAATGAGATTAAGCACTTTTATCATACAGCCATTTCTGTCTCATCTTCTGTGAATTGTTCAGTTATATTCTTTGCCTCTTTTTCTGTTGATTTGTGTGTTTCTCATCAGTTTGAATAACTTACTTTTGACTTAGTGATGGTAACCAGTGTGTCTGTCTTACCTTTGCAGCTATTTTCTCCAGTTGGTTTTTCTTTTGACTTTAAAATCCATTTCTCCCCCTCTCTCTTCCCCTCCTTCCCATCCTCTCTTCTTTCCTTCCTAACTTCCATAGCCAAATCTGTCTTTTTTTTTTTTCCTGGTTTTTAGGTTTCCTATCATACTTAAGAATCCTCCCCACCACAGTAATATTCCCAATATTTCTTATATTTTCATAGTTTTAGTAGTTATGTTTTAATCTTTTTTTTTTTCATATGCAGGTTGAGAGTTGAGGTTTATTTTTTTCCATTGGGTATTCAGTTTTTCACTTATTAAAGTCTTTCCTTCCCTCCATTGAATTGACTTGATGCCTAAATATTCGCTGTAAATGTTTGTCTATCTCTGGATTCTTTTCTATCTCATTTATCTATTGTCTGTCTTTAAGCCAGTACCACACTATTTTGATTACCATCACTTTATAAGTCTTGAACTCAGGTAGTGTAAGTCTTGCGGTTTATGTTCTTTTTCAGAATTGTTGTGACTATTCTAGGTCCTTTGCATTTCTGTATAAATTTTAATAACAGCTTGTCAACTTTTGCAAAAATACCTGCTGAGATTTTGATTGTGTTTGTGGGGTTTGGGATGCATGGTCATCTTAAGAATATCCAGCTTTCCAATCTATGATTATATATTTCTCTATTTATAACAGGCTTTGTACATTTGTTCTGTTTTATTTTATGCAGATTGTCGTAATGATGGTTGAACCTTCCTTTAAAAATATTGTGAGATCTTTCTCCAGTTTTGGATTCATTTTGTTTGCGACAGTATGAGTTTAATGGCCATCAGGTTAATGTTGAAAACCTGAGATGATGTTTAGACAGTGCTGCTGGAAGTTCAGTTTCCTGCAACTCTCAGTGGGTAGAGAATCCCTTCTTAAGTTGAGCGGGGGAGAAAGGATAACCGGGACTGAGAGAGAAAGAAGAATAATTACTTCCTGGTTTGAAGAAAGTGATGCTCATGACTGGGAGGATTTTCTTTGATCCCTAATGATTTGATATCTAAAATATAGGGGGAGGGGAAACTTATCAAAGTGCTAACATTTTTAAGCATTTGACCATCTCTGCCAACTACTTCCAGAAGAACCGTGGCTCCAGACTTTGCAGACTTGTATATCTTTAGTAAAATTAGGGCTCTGCCTTTTTTGGAATAAAATGGGAGGTCAGCAGGTCAGTTGTTGAGAAGAAAGGGCTTTATGAAATCTCTTACACAAGGTTTAAACTCCTCTTTTTTGTATCTGAACTTAGACTGAACAGAAGTAAGACAGGGGCTGTGGAGCCAAAATGGCTTCTAACAGTTTCCTATAGTTATTGTATGTTCTTTAGTGATATTGCATGTATCACGCTGGATCCCAAGTAAACATCTGGGAATGGATGTCATGTGGAGAGGTATCCTGCTAGCCTTGTAATGCTAGCAGTAATTATGAGAAACTCAAATTTTTTTGTCTGGGGAATTTTTTTGTCTATTTCTAATTTAAGGAAAGGGTTTTTTGTTTGTTTATTTTTTATTAGCCTAGTAGCCAAGACTTAAATAAATCTCTACCTTGAAATCCAAAGGTTAATTTTTTTAATAATATGCTTTCTGCTGAACTCTGTGTTCTTAAAATCTAGAGGTCTATATTGTCTGGTTTTGAGAATTTAATTTATACTGTCATTCTACCTATTGCTATGAATTGTAATTTAGTGAAATTGATTTGTTTTCCCCTAAGAATCACTAAAGGGATAGAGAGTGTTCTGAAGAAAATACTAATGGCCCAAATGAATTTCAACTCTTGTAATTTATCTTCTGTGAGAAATTTCCTGGCATTTAAAATTTTTTGGTGTAAAGGAAGATCTTTGGCCCTTTGGCAAGTAGTCAGCTTTAGTATGATCACGGACCTGTCTAGAAACCACAAATTGACCGAAGTAGGGTGTGTTTGTGTGTCTCCATACATACACCTATAGGTATACATATAGCAGTATTTCCCCTAATCCTGAGGCAGTAAGTAAGTGTTCCATTTTACCTGAGCAATGAGAGAATATTCAGGGAATTTTGTTCACTCACCTTAAAAATAATTATATGATGAGAATTTAAAGTCAATTTTTCTCCTTATTTTCTCTTTTTCTGTTTGTTCTAGGGTAACCAGGAGCCAACAACAACTCCTGACGCAATGGTTCAGCCTTTTACTACCATCCCATTTCCACCACCTCCGCAAAATGGGATTCCCACAGAATACGGAGTGCCACACACTCAGGACTATGCCGGCCAGACCAGTGAGCATAACCTGACCCTCTATGGAAGCACGCAAGCCCACGGGGAGCAGAGTAGCAACTCACCCAGCACACAGAACGGATCTCTGACGGTATGTGAGTGATGAGGTGGCGAGCAGAAGGCGGCGTGTCATCCTCGTAGGTCGTATTGAAATCTTCTTCTTAATCATCACACCAGAAAACCCTTTGAAATAGTTTTGCATTTACATTACATTACATAGCGCTTAATGTAATTTCAGTTCTACTCTAAGCATTGTAATTAGAAGATAAGGATTTAGCATAAAACTCACGGTCATTGCCCAGGAGCTTACAGTCTCGATATGGGACAGACAGTACAACAAGGTAAGTACAGTGATGGGAGTTAACTTAGCAGGATGCTGCTCTTTTCAGCTTCACAGGTAACCTTCATTTTGTAAAATCTCACGGTCCCTTCTCTGTCCTCATCGTACAGAATCTGTCAGCAGCATTCTACACATTGCCTCCCCCCTCCTCCTTGAAATACTTAGTTGTTGGCTTTCATGACGCTCCCTGTTTCCCTCCTAAGCACTAGAAGCTCTAGGTCTCTTTTGTTGGTTCCTCTTCCTCTGTTCAGCTTTTAAATGTTGTGGTGCTCCAGGGCTGAGTCCTAGGACCCCTTTCCCTCCTATTTCATATGCTCTCTCTGTTGTATAATTATACTACTGAATTCACCTAGTTGCTCAGGCAAAACCTACGAGTCATTATTTCTTTATTTCCTTCATCTCTACATCCAGTCCATTAGCAAGTCTTGGTCCCCATAACTATAGAACATTTTCTTAACTTCAGCCTCTTTCTCTTCATCTTAAGACCATAGTCTTAAGTGTGCATGATTAAGAGCTCAGCACTTCTGCCAGAGTTTTTGGGCCTGAGTCCTAATGTGACTCCTACTTAGCAGTATGACCTTAGGCCAGTTATTTAATCCCTCTGCCTTGGCTTGCTCATCTGTAAAATGAATAGCACCTATTTCAAGTGGCTTTTAGGAGACTTAAAAGAGTTTAATTCATGTGAGGTGCTTATCATCGTTGTCGCCACTCTAGTCCAAACCTCTTCACTTATTTTCTATATTACTGTTGTCTAACATCACATAGTAGCCAAGATACTTTTTTTTTTTTTTTTTTTTTAATGAAAATAATGCTATTTTCCTGCTGGACTCTAATGGTTTCCTAACAGAATAAAATCCAGACTCTGTACTTGGTTTACTAATCCCTGGCCCCAGCCTACCTCTTTGACTTCATCTCTTACTACTTAGTAAGCAAGTAAAGGAAGTGTCATAAATTAACAGTAGGTGTGTTATCACATCATACAGATCACTTCAAATGATTGTGAACTCACAGACTTAACAGAACTACTGGAAAAGAAGGAAAAAGAAAGAATAAAATACATAAATCGGAGGCTTTATCAAGGTATTTTAATGACTAAGTCTATTTCTTTACTAGTTATCAGTCTTTTCTTTTTTCTATTTCTTGTTTAGTCAATTTTGGTAATTGGTGTTTTCCTAGGAATTTTTCTATTTCATCTTAATTATTCTTTTGGTATAAAGTTACTCATAATAATAATCCGATTTTCTGTAATTTCTTTAGCGTCTGTAATCATATCCCCTCTTTCATTCTTGATTTTGGTAATTATGTCTTCTTTTTTTCTTGGTCAGTCTAGCTAAGGTTTATTGATTTTGCAGCTTGTTCCAGAAAACCAGCTTTTGATTTCATTGACCTTTTCAAAAATCTGTTGTTTTTATATGTCACTGATTTCCATTCTGATCTTTACTATTTCCTTCCTTCTACTTGCTTTGGGTTTGATTTGGTCTTTATTTTCCCAGCTTCTTGACTTGCAATGTTAGATCTTTGATGTTAGAATTTTATCCTTTCTAATATGTGTTTAAAGCTATACCTTTCCCTTTAAGTTTCCCTTTAGCTGCATCCCATAAAATGTGATATATTGTGTTTTCATTTTCATTCAGTTCAAGATATTTTTAAATTTTTCCTTTGATTTCTTCTTTGATCTTGGTTTACATAGACGTGTGTTGTTTAATTTCCAAATGTTTGAGGATGTCTCAAGTTTTTTTTCTTTAATCCCATTGTGCTCAGAGAATATTCTTTGTATGATTTGAATCTTTTTAAACTTAGTGAGACTTGTTTTATGGCTTAGTAGGTGGTCTGTCCTACAGAATGTTCCTAACCAGTTGGGCCTTTTATCAATATGAAATGTCCCTCTTTGTCTCTATTAATATTTCTTGTCTTAAGTCTATTTCGTGTGATATTAGTATCACTACTTGAACTTTCTCATGATCACTATTTGCAAGACATCTTTTTCCTTCATTTTATTTCAAACTCTTTGAATCTAAGATGTGTCTCTTGTAAAAAACATAACATCTGGATCTTACTTCTTTTTCCAGTCTGAAAATTATTGTCTTTCTATCAGAGCATTTAGTCTATTTACATTTAATGTAATTGTTAATGTGGGTGGATTTATGTCTGCCATTTTACTATTTGTTTTTGTACGTCTTATGTCCTTTATTGTTCCTTCTTTACTGATTTATGTTAAATAATTCTTTCTGTACCTTCTAAATCCTTTGGTGATTTTTTAAATTAGTTATTTATTTGTGTTATTTATGTATTTTCTTAGTTCTTGATCAAGGATTACATCTTTGAGTTATCACAACCTACTGATGGCTGTGTGTATATTTGTGTGTGTGTGTGTGTGTGTGTTACTCTGGTAAAATATAGCAGCTTTGATCCAATATAGCTCTATCCCTCACCATCCTTTGTGCTGTTATTGTCACATATATATATATATATATGTATATATATATATATATATATATATGTAACACTTCATATATATATATATGAAGTGCTATAGTATTACAGTTACTACTTTAAAAATCTTCTATTTTTAAAGAAATTTACCATTTCCAGTGATTTTCTTAGCTTCCTATGGATTTGAGTTATTTTCCGATGTCATTTCCTTTCAGCTGGTAGCACATCTTTTAGTATATCTGTAGACTAGGTCTGCTTGAAACAAATTTTCTGTTTTTGTTTACCTAGGAATACTTTTATTTTGTCTTCATTTTTGAAGGCTAGCTGTAGAATTCTTGGTTGACATTTTTGCCCCAACTCCTCAGCCCTCTGGCCTCTGATGAGAAGTCAGTTGTTAATCCTGTTGTTGTTCCCCTGTATGTGATGAGTTGTTTTTCTCTTGCTGTCTTCAAGATTTTTTTGTTTGTCTTTGGCTTTGAGCAGTTTGACGCTGATATGTCTAGGATAAATCTCTTTGTTTTATCATATGTGGAGTGCATTGAGATTTTGAGGTCTGTAGATTGTTTTCCATCAAAATTGGGAAGTTTTTGAACGTAATTTTTTCAAATATTTATTCTTTCCTTTTGTTCCTCCTCCTGGGACTTTTGCTACAAGTAATGGGGATGCTTGTTCCCCACAGGTTCAGATTCTGTTTGTTTGTTTGTTTTTAAGCTGACTCTAAACAGAACCTAAGGTTCTACTCATTTTTCTTCAGTCTTCTTTCTTTCTGTTCTTTTGATTGGATAATTTCTGTTGATCTGTTTCAGTTTACTCTTTCTTTTTTCCGCCATATCAAATCGGCTATTAAGCCCATCTAGTGAATTTTTATTTTAGTTAATGTACTTTTCAACTCTGGAATTTCCATTTAGGATTTCTGTATCTCTATTGAGATTCCTTACTTGTCATCATATTTCCTTTAATTCTTTGAATACATTTGTAATTGTTACTTTGAAGTCACCTGCTGACTCTAACATCCAGGCCTCCTCAGAGCCTGTTTCTAGTTACTGCTTGTTTTCTTGGGTCGGGGCCACACTTTTCCTGTTTCTTTGCATGTCTTGTAACTTTTTAGTAAATTGGACATTTTAGTAATATATTTTAACAACTCTAAAGTTTTTTGGTTTTGTTTTTGTTTTTGAGAGGTATAGGTGAGTGTATATGTGTGTGTTTTAAATAGTTTGCCTGTACTTAAACTGTGGGCTCCTCTGTGGTGTGCAGCCACTGATGGGTCTGCTTAGTGATTTTCATTCTTGTTTTTACTTTTTAGCCTGGCTGGGAGTCACCCCTGTGTCTCCATAGCCTACTGGTCAGCCAGTGATTTGGGCATAAGTTGTGCTTAAAAGCACCTGGAGTGTGGAAAGCTTCCACCCTCTGCTGATCTGGTTTTGGGTTGGGAAGTGCATTTCACAGTACAGCCAGTTCTCAAGTATGCCTTGGTTTTTTCTTTCTGTTGGGCCCTCTTATGTCTCCCCTCCTCATCCGCATATGTTCACAGTCAGCCAGGAATGTGAGGAGATCATATCTAGTTATTCTACTATTCTCTCAGATTTCTAGCTGATCCACCACTCACCCCAATCAGACCACAGCCTCAAGCTAGAAGAACTATATTTCCCCTGTTAGGTTCCCACCAAGTTTGCCGCTTTAGTGGACAAGTCTGTGGTTTTCTACTGCGCCCCCCACCCCAGTACCCCAAGTGGAGTCTGCCCCCTCTGGCAGCAAAGCTGCTGGTTTCTGTGGCCCAGCCCTATCCCGTTGAGCTCTCCCAGAAGAGCTGAGGATTAGAGGGTGGGGTTAGTGAGTTGGAGTAGGCCCAGGCAATAAGTTTGTAGACTCCTGCATGTTTTACCCTAAAGCTCTAGCAACTTTTCAAGAAACTTCTCTCTCTATTATCTGCCTCTGATTGATTTCCAGGACCCTGAAATGACTGACAAGTTTTCTTATTGTTTTGAGGAGAGGATTCACTGACCTCTTCATGCCATCAGAGCCAGAAGTCCCTTCCTTGAATCACTTCATGGTCGTTTGTGCTGCACCTCTCCTCACCACTGCCCATTTATTTCTCTTTCTCTTTTTTTCCCTATTGCCACTGTTTCCCACTGTTTCAGATTCCTGGACTATGTGTCTCTAATGACAGTATTAACGGCGAGCTCTGTTCCTTAATATAAATGTATACAGTTAAGACTTCTGTTCTTCATCCATATTAGAAACTATTCATTATATAATTTTGCATTATATTGACCAATTTGAGTTTCTAAAGATGTATTGAAATAAGATTAGGAATCCTT